TATATATATATATATATATATATATATATATATATATATATATATATATATATATATATATATATATATATATATATATATATAGGCTTGGCCGGGAAGGGGGTGCGATCGCACTCGATAACTGACCACGGAAATAATATTTAGTTGCGAAAAACCGGCCAGATATTTTAGTCGTTTTGAGAACATTTAAATTTATGCATGTTTCCTTAATTAAGTTCATTATTTCATCGTAATTTTTTAAATATTTTGTTTACGGATATACATGGAAACATACATAAACTCTAATGTTGTCAAACATCTTTGTGCGGAAAAATAAAAAAAAAAACACAAAAAACCCGCCAAATCTAATTCTATTGGTTAAAAAAATACTAACCGAAATTTCCTGAGTATTCTGTTGAAATATTTTTAAAAATTGTATTATTTGAGTTTTATGATTTCATTGTGATTTCTAGCATAAATTGTTTTAAGAATATCAAACAAACTATTATTTTAATTCTCGGAGCCGCATCTGCAAAGCTATTATTTGTTTACAAAAATAAATGTTTTTAATTTACTAACTTTAATTATTTTTGCTTCAGGGATTCTTACAAACTCGTTATAGTTAAACTTAAAGTTAATTTTTTCTGTTTTAAATACTAATTAAAATTATAAAGCCCACTAACTAAACATCATCAGCGTTATTGTGAAGTAGTTCTGCTTCCTCCTCACATAGTAATTTAATTTCTATTTAGCTAATTGAATTTCTACAAAAACTCAATGATTTAATTAATTCACTTGTTCATCTTATAAGATATTTAACACATTTGAAACAATTTTTCTTAGTATACTAAGAAAAATTGTTTCAAATGTGTTAAACTTTTCAAATTACGCGAAGCATAAAACAGTTATTGAAAAAACTTTTTTATTTATAAATAAATCATCTAGCTTTTGTTTTATTAGTTGAATCTTGTTGGACTTTTCAGGGCCAGGGACTGCATTATTTTGGCAGCCTTTATTATGTGCCACAGCGTAAAAATGACTGAAAAAAATACCGAATAGTCCTCTTGACTATTTTGCGGCCCCTAACATTGTGAGTCCCGAGGCTATAGCCCTTCTACTCCCCCCCCCTCCTCAATCCAGCACTGGAAATAAGACAAGTATATAAATAAAAATTATATATACTCTTTGATAAATCGGAGAACATTTGTGTCCTTATCAAACAATCATTATTGTTAAATTGTTACTTTATATAAAAAATGTCACTTAATTTATTGAAAAAATTACAAAAGAGCGATGTTTCAAAAATATTTGCTCTAATCGTATTTATTTTGCTTAAAGTTTTTTCGTGTTAAAAGCTAATTTTCTTTTTTTAACTGTCTCACATCGGTTCAGTTAATCTTATTGCGCTTTTTTGTTTGTTTTTGAAATGTTTTCAAAACGACTAAAAAATCTGGCCGGTTTTTTTGCAACTAAATATTATTTCCGTGGTCAATTATCGCACCCGCTTCCCGACCAAGCCTGTATATATATATATATATATATATATATATATATATATATATATATATATATATATATATATACATATGTATATATACACATGTATATATATACATGTATATACACACAAGAAAAATTTTTGTTGAGTGATTTTCTACTAGTTTATATATATATATATATATATATATATAAATATATGTATATATATATATATATATATATATATATATATATATATATATATATATATATATATATATATATATATATATATACATATACATATGTATATATACACATAAGCGTGCACCTGTGTACAAAATATTTTCTATATACCTTGTCAATATCATTCATTTCTTTAGGACTAACACCACATAAAGAGCAGCACTGTGATGAGTCAGTTACATCTGATAATGCAGTATGGGCTTTGCCATCAATCATCGTAATTCCAATTTTATGGTCAACATCAATAGACTTACCATTAAGTAGGATATAGCTTGTTTTAGTTAGCTGTTTGATCTAATTTTTTAATTTCAATTTCTCACTACGAAGAAGGTTTGCAGTTTCCTCTACAAATTTAAATCGCAAAGGTCAATCAAAGGTCGATAGTACAAAGTAGATGATGGTTTAGAATTTCTACAAATAATAATCTTTTTATCATTGACGATAGATGAGAACTCTAAAGGTACAAAGTATGTAATAAACAGAGAATTCTCACTCTTCAGATTCCTAGTACACTCATCATCATTACATGTGTGTTTATAAATGCTATGCCCACTTGAGAATCTCTAACATTATTATATGCTGGGTAGAGATTGCATTCCTTTTTATCAGCTTTGTTTTTCATCAGTTGATAAGATGCCTTTGTCAAATTACAATCTAAAATAAGGGCCAAAGTTTCATCAGTAGGCATATAAGGTGGGGATTAAGTGTCCACTAACAATTTTTCTGCTAATTTAGCTTTTTTAGGCTCATTATTTTTTCCAAATTTGACTTTAGTTGCAAATAATAGTTGGCTAGCTGAGTATTGATCCATTTGAGCAACTTTTCTATACTTAGATCTCAAAGAAGACTCATCAAAATTTAAAGTAGGTCTACCAAGAGGAATGGTAACAATTGTTGGAATAGCAGGCGGAACATATGCATAAGGCATTAAGTCAGAATCCAACCATTTTGCATACTTTTTCTCAAATGCTGCAGCTTTGTGGCTAACATCATTCCAACGAGACTTCAAGTTCTTTAAGAATGCAATTAATTTGTTATTTATAATTTCAGAATTATCTAAGTCTAACTTGACAACTAGTTGATCATAAATTGTTGGATCTTGTATAGATATATTATTGGATCTAATGCAGTTCTATATATAATGGTACTTCATTTTAATTGTACTTCAATTTAACATATTTTGAATAATCTAATATAATATATGTTAAATATAGTTGGCGATTATTTTACTAAGAATATCTAAGCAACCCATTTATATAGGGTTTTTGTATAATCAATAATATATAGTAACATGAAAAAAATGTTTTAATGACAATTGTCGCGGTATAAAATCATGTGTAATGTTTTAGTTACATAGTCTACATCTGCAAGTATCTGCAACAAAACTGTTTTTAACTCATTAAATGTATTTTTTTCAGTGAATATCAGCCATAAAAACCCTGGCCAAACATATAAGCATAGTATTAGCAAAAAAATAACGGATTGATCATAAAATGAATCAAATGCGTTCAAGAAGATAAAGAGAAATGCCAATTGATAGCCAATATATGTATTAAAACTACAATTTAAATTCGTAGTAATATAAATTACCTAACATTAAATGGCAAAACACATAAAAAAAAATTTTTTAACTTTTTTAGATAAGCGTTTGACCGTCTAAAATATTGTTCAGGGTGAAAACTTGAAATTAAAATTTTTTAGTAAAGGCACATTTTTTGATTAACAATCCTTATGTTTTAATGTAAATCAATATGTTACGTTCATTGAATAATAGTTTTTTATACAAAAATTGAATAAAAATAATTTTGACTTGGCACACCATGGCCCACTGTGCAATGGTGTACATTGTTACTGTTGCCAATAACATGATATGTATGAAAACTTTCAACAACCATTTAAGGATGTTATGTTATACCAAACCATTTTCAATTAAAAATTTAAACAGTCTTTTGAACTATTTTATATAACAAATTATTTTTTAAAACAAATAATTAAGTAATTTTTTTCTACTTTCCGTACTTTTTTAAAAAATTTTCAATTTAAATTTATTTTATTATATTTAAATTAAATTTAGTTTTTGTTCACTTTACATTCAGTTTAAATTTATTTCATTATATTTAAATTAAATTTAGTATATGTTCACTTTACATTCAACTTTTTTGTTTACTTATAGTTTTATTTTTTTATTAACTAATTAATTTATTTTTTATTAATATTTTTATTATTATTTATAGTTTCTATTCAATAATTTATTTTTATCCCTTTACAAAAGTGCTAATATAAAAAGGTACTTAATACATTTATAACTATTTATAAATGCATTGCCGGATGATTATGGTGTAATTGCTATTAAACCATAATCAAGCCTGTAGGCAAAATTATTTTAGAGAATTTTTATAGAAAATATTATGTAACAAATTTATGAAAGGGTCATTTCATATAAGATAAGCCAATTTTAAAGTTTTAAAATTTTTGGAGTGACCATTACAGATTTTTTTGAAATTTATACTTCCTCTAGGTTTTATGAAAAAAAGAATTTCAAAAATTTCAACTCATTATTTTGCAAAATATGCATTAATAACATTAGCATTATGCTGCATTTAGTCATATATTATGCAATAGTTTGTTGGTTTGAGTTTATTTCAGAATCTTTGTAGTAAATATTGAATGGATATAGTGTTGCTTGGCTTTTATTCCAATGAAATCCTTGGACTGTGTCTTTTGCTTTAAATCTGTAATTTTCTGCAAAATCAAAGAAAATAATAATTTGGTTTTGTTGAAGATTTTCTTTTAGAATTCGAAGGAATAAGGGCTGTGTCCTTGAAATAAAATGGTGTGATCGCAAGTTGACAATTGTAGAAACAATTTCTGCAAGAAACTCCTCTAACAGAAGTTTTAAAGTTACCAAACTAAGCGTTCTCTTTTTTTAACCACTGTTTGCACAGCACTATATCCTCATATTCAAAACCAATTTAATTGAAGATATCACTTATATACTGTTTTAAGTTCTCTACATTCTATACATGAACAGTTATCTCAACTATGAAGCATTCAGCTACGATTCTTAATGTCACATGCTGTTTTTAATAAAAGTTCTTTATATTTAATGTTACCCGACACTGCATAAGTAATCAACTTTGAATTTTTGTGTACTTGATAAACTGAATGTACACCATTTTGGACAAAGCTGAAAAAACTTTGAAAATCCTATTTTCTCTCCTGTTTTTAGAAATTATATTTTTTGTTAATGATAAAGTTATTTCTATGATTATATTTCTATGATTATATTTCTATAGGCTGGTCAACGAGTTGTTATTAAATCAAACAAAGAGGATAAAGATAATTTTGATCATCCACCTGTTGATTCTTCTGATTTAAATGTTATTAATAGATCTGCAGAAAGTTTGGAAGTGAAATATACAGATAATAATAACTTCAAACTCACAGATAGGATTACTAAAATAATTTTAATTAAATCAGAGCAGAATGAGGATGTGACCAAAGACTTATCAAACAGCAAAGAGTTTGTTAAATATGACTCAACTGTTACACTGAGCTCAACAGCAACTCAGACAGAGGTCTTGGCACTGCAGAATGATAAAAAGGTAACTTTTAGTTTTTAACTTTTTATAAGTGTTCATGTAAGATATAAGTGTGATATCTGTGAGATATCTAAGTATCTAAGTGATATTTTATATAAATGATAGACATCCTAATTTTATCATGATCTACAAATTTAACCTCGGAGGTCACCAGAGGTCGCCCGGGGTTGCGGAGGCTTTCAAATGGTCATTTCTGGGTTAGGGAGGCCGGATAGAGTGTTCCTTGTGAGTTAATCCTGGTCCCTGGGGGTGGGGTTGCAGATGACCTCGGGTGTGACCTTAGGGGTGGCTGGAGGTCAGAATGGTCTGGGGGACGGGTTGAGTGTTTCCTATGATGTGATTTTCGTTGGTTTCTGTTGTGTTCCATGGATAGCTGTTGCTTGTTTTGTCGTTTTCCAGAGTATTCTGGAATGTTCCACGTTTTTCCCGAGTGGGCCAGAATTTTCCGGAGTGGTCTGGAGTTTTCCAGAATGTTCCATAGTGCAAAGTGTAGCTGTTCTATCACCTTCCAGAGCATTCGGGGGTTTTCCGGAGTGTTCCGTGGTGCTCTTTGGCTCCGTCTGGAGATGTAGGTGGATCACCAGAGATCGCACATAGCTCAGTTATTACTGGGTTGCTGAGGTGAACATATCATTTGCGGGATTGCAGTTCTGGGAGTCAGTTTGGGGGGTCTGTTTGCTCTTTTGATGTTGCTGTGGATAACAGGTGGGGAAATATTGTTTTTTGGTGGTAACTAATTTATTTTTGGTTCTTTTATTTTGTGGTGGTCAACTTGGTACAGGGCATTGTTCTTTTCAAATGAGTATTGTGTATGAATATATATATATAAGATGTGTGTATGGTGTATATAAAATCCCCAGATGGAAGAACTTTTAGTTTTGTGTACCAAAAGGCTCTGAGGCATTTTTTTTAAAGTACCCAGGATTGAGAGTTTTTTGGTCAAGTAATTGATTTTTGGAGGGTGGGTTTTCTTTGTACACCAGCAACTTTGATTTGTTTTGCCGGTGCCCAGCGGCGCGGGCACCTCTGCTAGTATATATATATATATATATATATATATATATATATATATATATATATATATATACCCATATAGTGTAGTCGAAAGAGCGTTTTAATGTAAAAAAAGTCTCTTACGACTACAATTTTAATTACCTCGTCTCTTAAGCTGTTTTTGATTGTCATCGAAATGTCAAAGCAATTAATTTATGCGGAAGTACATTAAATTTAATTGTTTTTTAAAAAAATTTTAAGAAACCGCAATTATAACGACTAGAAAGTTTTTTTTAATTAGTGGTGTTTTTGTTATTGATTTAATAAAAAACATTTTTAAAACATGCGTAAATGTTGCTACATCGACTATCTTATAGCCTGACTCGCAACGGAGTGCTGCTACATCGACTGACAAATAGCCTGACTCGCAACGGAGTGCTGCTACATCGACTGACAAATAGCCTGACTCGCAACGGAGTGCTGCTACATCGACTGACAAAGAGCCTGACTCGCAACAGAGTGCTGCTACATCGACTGACAAATAGCCTGACTCGCAAGGGAATGCTGCTACATCGACTGACAAATAGCCTGACTCGCAAGGGAGTGCTGCTACAACGACTGACAAATAGCCTGACTCGCAAGAGAGTGCTGCTACATCGACTAAGGGTTTGGTTTGGCCAGGCAGTCTATCAATTAAAAAAAAAAATTTAATTTTTAAAACTTTTTCTGGTCTGGTTTATTAACGCACTCTTTAAAACTACAGTTTATGGGAAACTTTTTTTGATGCCATGCAAGAGACATGCAAGAGTATATATATATATATATATATATATATATATATATATATATATATATATATATATTATATATATATATATATATATATATATATATATATATTTATATATATATATATATATACATATATGCATATATATATATATATATATATATATATATATATATATATATATATATATATATATACACAGTAGAATCCTGTTCTCGGACTTGAAGGGGTATATGTTTGTTGCCCGACTTAGCAAATATCTGAATTAAGCAAAGGTCTTGTTAAGTCGGACTTAACGAGATCTTTGCTTAATTGAAAATGTCCGACCTATTGAGATTTCGAGACTTAACAAATGTTCCTTGAAATATAAATATTATGTACATATATATAGAACAATATAATCTTATGTGAAATATATATTTTTGCATATATAATATATACTATAAACAAAAAAAGTCCGAAATTGATGTTTGCTTCAAAGTTCTACTTGTTAGTTTTTTTTTAGCAACCTTTTAAACATTTTTAGTAAATAAAACTTTATCGAAGTATAACTGAATTGTTAACGAAGTTAATGAATATTAGTGAAAATGTTTAGTTTGTTAAATTATGTTTGACGCAAAAATAATTAGTTTTCGAATGTTCTAAGTTTTGAATTTTAATTGATATTTTTTAATTTTCAATGTAATAGTTATTAACAATTAGAATTTAATCGAAGTTTAATGGATTCAAAAGAACTCTGCGAAAATGTTTAGCCATGTTTAATTATTTTTGACACAAAAGTATTTCATTTTTGAGCGTTTACAGTTTGGAATTTTTATTGAAGTATAGGAAGTTTTGTTATATTTACTTATATGCGATTCAAAATAATAATCCTAGTTAAGCGAAGTTTTTTGCCATAAGGACCTCAAAAACAGTATGGGTTAGCGAATGGTCCAACTTAACCAGGGTATGACTTAAACAGGGTATGATAAGCGGGTATGATGAACAGGGTATGAAAAACAAGGTATGATAAGCGATATACTTAACCAGGGTCTGACTTAAAGGGATCCCAAACTCCCAACACATGTTGTGTTCATATTAAAGATAATGTTAAAAAAAAAGGTTTGAACCAAATTTTTTTGATTAAAAATAAATAATGAATGCATACCGTGAAAAACAAATGTTGTTGTTTTTGCCGAAACTCGTCTTTTCCAACTACTTTTTTCAACTACTCGGAGTCTTCAAATTATGCGTCGCAATCTACAGACTTTGGCAATTCCTTTGAAGCGCGTTTAATTCATAAAAGTTTTAGTATTTGATGTCACGGTAGACTTTTAACAAAAGAAACTCTGGAAATATTTTTATTTATTTTTAGTCAAAGTTTTTTTGATTATTTGTTTAGTTTTTTTTTTCTACTTTTAATATTTAAAAAGATATTAAAAACCTTAAATATTTTATGCTGGTTCGTTGCTATAAATTGTTATTGCGCCATATATTAAATGTTTATAAATTATGAATACTTATTATCTCAAAAATTGTTTTAGATTAATTACCCGTATAAAATTAGTAACAGCTTTTTTATTTGGTTAGACGATATTTCGTTTCAATTTGCTTTGCATGAAGTTCGGAAAGTCAAACGAAAAAAATTAGTTTGAATAATCACGTCGAAATATATTTAAAACAAATTATTTTAATGACGGGGATTCTAAAGTTTTTTATAACAAATGTAGGTAAAAAAATAAATAACTAAATAAAAAGTTCAGTATTAAACACCATTTCTTTATTATATTGCAACTGTAAATATTGAATTATTAACTTGAACTAAATTTATTCATTATTTAGAACGACTAAGCAATAAAAATAAAATGCCTCTAAAATTATGCGAGATTGTGTTGTTTATTTGATAACTGTTGTTGGTAATGTTGTTTATGTTGATTATTTTCATAAATATCAAAATAGTTCCAGATTAATCTGTTCGTTGCTTTGCTCATTGTTGATTTATTTCTAATTTAATTTTATCTCAAACTATAATTATATATTAAAAAATAAAAGTTTTTATTTCATCGGGCGCTCTTTTTATAAAAGAGTAGAACAAAAGAGAAAGAAAAGTTTCGCGCAATTAAACTTTGAATGAATAAGAGTTGTAAAGAATATATATATTTTTTGCGTCACTCGTTCTTTTTTTAGATGAGAGAAATAAAAGTTTAATAGTTTAATTTTCTTTGAATAAATGAGAATTGGAAGAGAAAATTGCTTGAAAATTTGTATTTGTTAATTGTGTTTTTAAAATTTTTTCATTTTTCATGTTAAGAGACAAATGCCAATTACGACACAAATTTGGAAATACCAAATATAATATGTTTTTTAATGCGCATTATGACATTTTAACAATTTAAATTACCATCTATCTTGAATTATTGCCTTTAATTAATGTGTTAATTATTGCGTTATTTAATAATAATTTGTCCGTATTTTGGTTAAATATTAGTTGTATAAAACGGGCAAAAATATACAAACTTCATGTTTTTTATTTGATGGTTATAAAATAATGAACAGTAAACTTATAATCAAGATTTATAATGCCGACTTGTGTTGCAATTAATTGTACTTTTAATGCAAAATCAGGATCTCACATATCCTTTAACGAATTTTCATATCAGATACTACTGTCAAGTGTTAAAAAAAAAGTACAAAAATACACTAAACTATTGTTTAGTGTATTCTTGTATTTTTTTTAATAATCTTAACAGGTTCTAATTGGTATGGAGTTGCTGACATTTTAAAAATTTCATTATCAAAAATCAAATGTAAAATAAAATGGTATTTCCTTTTTATCCGTATCCAATTCAGCAAATTTAGCAATTTAAATTAAATCAGCGTGATCAAAAAAATTTTATAATAAAAAAAGTTAACAATTCATTAAATATCTCTAATTAATACTGTTAGTTTATGAAAGTAATTGTTAATAAATACTTTTTTTCAACGGGAAAACAAAAAATTGTCATAGTGTAAAAATAACCAGAGAAGTTAGAAAATAGTTCCCATTGTTTAAATAAAAATAATTAAGAATCAGAATATATAATACTGCGCTCTCTTGCGCTAAAACAAGAGACCGTATATAAAACGTTCTATATAATGTAAAATACTCGTATGAAAATCATGAGATTGGTAAGTAAAGCTTTAATATTTGTTTTAATTTAAATAATTAAAGAAATATAAGTAAGATATATAAATCTAAAAA